TGGGCTGGAGTCAGCCTCAGCCCCCAGGGCCCTTTCTGAGGAGGTTAAAAGTACAGCAGCTAAAGGAAGCAGCAGAGAGGAGCCAGCTTTCCCTTGCACTTAGCACACAGTTTGAGGTTGGGTGCCTGGCTCCTCTGTGCCCTCTCCAGCCTTCCTTCCCCTCAGGCTTCTAAGCTGGCAAACATGCCAGTAGTTAAAGGGCTTCCTTTCCTAGGGAGGTCTGGAAAGGCCTGGAACCTAGGCTAGTGGAGCCTGAGAAGAGTCACCTTTCTCCTCCAGCAGGGTCTCTGGGACCTTGTCAGGCTTGCCTTCTAGAAGCTACAAGGCTGAGGCTGAAAAGGCTCCACCCATTCAGATCACAGGAATCCTGGTTTGGAGACGAGAAGCAGGGCTAGCTCTGGCCTGCTCTTATCTCTGGGGCTTAACACCTATGCCTGAACCCAGATCTCTGGCTGGCTGACGCCAGTCTTCTGGTATCTTACTACACACACAGCCTGGCACCCTGAGTGCTTTAGGAGTGCAGCCGCCTGGGGCAACAGAAGTCTCCTTCCTGGCCAGGTCAGCCCTCAGGACTCCCGTGAAGACACCTGCCTACTGCTCTGCTCAGCTTCTGTCCTGACTCAGATATACAGACCACCCTGAGGGAATGAGGCTAAGATGCCACAGCCTGTGCTGCCAGTGGCGAAGGTAGATCTCGGGTGTTTTCAGCCCGGGGGACGATGGCCACAGGGCCATGCATGGTGACTAGGAGCCTCAGCTATCACTGAGGAGAAACCCGAGGCCTGGGAGAACGCAGATGCTCCTGCTTATCCATGGGCTTCAGGCCCTGAGAGTGGTGAGCAGAACTAGGAAGGGGTGATACGCAGGGGACAGATGGACTAGCATGGCTCTGCTTTAGCTTCCAACCAGAAACCTGGCAAAGAGCCTGGGAACTTGGTTCTCAACAGCAGGCCAGTGTGGTACAGCACCACTGCACTGGGCGTGAGGCTGGCCAGAGGGCTGAAGCCCTCCCTGGTGGGCCCAGGGAGGGGGGGTGCATGGAGCCAAGAGATAGGTGCATTGGAAAACCAGAGGAAGGACACTAAAAGCAGGCGTGTGAAGAGGAGGGAGAGAAACTCGGGAGGGGAAGCGCTCTCAGGGGAGGCCTCCTGCAGCGCCCCATCCCATAGCCACACGGTGTCTAGCTTCTTGGCTGGAGCTGACTAAATGTGTCTATGCATGCACATGTGTATGCATGTGTGTGTGAGCGAGTGCGCACGTATGTGCAGGGTGGGGGTGGGGCACTGGAATTCCAGGCAGAAAGGATTACAGCATGGCCCCACATCTCCCCACATCAGCCTTTGAAGTGCCGAAGAGCAGCGTCAGGTCGGTGGGTAGGGTCTGTCATGAGCACTGCTTGTCTGTTTGGGGGCTGGAGTCTACCCACACAGGCAGGGACGGTCTTGAACCGTCAAGTATGGGTACTTGCATTACCTCGTTCCCAGCAAACCCACACCATCTGAACCTCCCTAAGTCTTAGCTTCCAAGGATAAGACAGAAGGACCAGCAACCCATGCCACATCGCTCAACACTCAGTGATCCCCCCAGCACTCACCAGAGTAAACTAACTCTACATCCTGACCAAGGCCAGATCCATCCAGTCACAGGAGACCGTGAGGGGACAGAAAAGGTGCGCTGACCTGGCTCACACTTCCCCTCCGAGGTGTTTGATGACTGGCTAAAGCCAAGCTTTAGTTAGCCCCAACTGAGAGTCACGAGGAGAAAGGGGGTTATGGGAGAGGACATCGTTCTGGCCCTAGTGCTGCCAGAGGGCTCAATCATTTGGGCAAGTCACTTGCATCTGCAAACCATGGGGGGAGGGTGTGCTCTAGAGATGTCATGAGGTGTGTAAGGCTGTCAGGAGACAGGGTGCCAGGGTCCCCAAGAAGTGCAATATGCATCAGTTATCTCTCGGAGGCAGGCTGAAGGAACTGGAGCAGACATGTCACCCAAGGAGGCCTTGATCCCATTTAAGGCTGATTCAGAGTTGAGCAGCATGACAGACGTATCTTTGGGGATAGAGGGTGCCAGGCCCAGTGCTATGGCCTGGCTTCTTGGTGTGGGGTCCATTAGAAGGGCTAGGAGGAGCCCTGTGAGGTGGGCATATGTGTCCCATTCCACACGGTCCTAGAGAGGACATAGGGATGGAAGCTCCATCCTAATAAGCCCCAAGACAGGGTACTTCCTGAGCTAGCCTCCAGTCTTGTGAGATAGCACAGAGCCTACAGGAGAGATGCTACATTTTGAATGCTGCTGACCGGTGGGGGCTGGAGCCACATCTGGTTCTCATTTAAACGTTCGAGTGTAATTAAATTTGCTACGATGCAGCGGAAGAGTTTGCTAAGATGTGGCTTACCCCTTTTCCATGAGGGCTAAGAAGTCACAGTTTTTTATTCCACCAGCAGCCTCGCTCTCTTTCCTGCCGAGCGCCTGCCCTAGTCTGAGAGGGCAGAGAGGCCTGTCCCATCACTCGTTTGTCTCTATTCTTCCTTCTTTCCTTGTCTGCTTCCTTCCTTCTCTTCCTCTTTTCCTTCCTTTGGCACAAGCTCTCGATGTGCTAAGGAGGCTGGTCTTGAATTCCTGGGTTTAAGGGATCCTTCCACCTCAGCCTCTGGAGCAGCCTGAACTATAGGTATGTCCCATCATGCCTGGCCCCCCCCCCCCCCCCCCACCTCCGCCCCCCCCCCCCGCTCCCCCCCCCCCCCCCCCCCCCCCCCGATCTCTTCTCTAGAATGCACAGGCCGAGGCTATCATTAGGTATGTGATACTCAGGAGAGCCTCCTGCCCCACCCCCACGCTGTCTGCCCACCTGAGAGGACCTGTGACTCAGCAAGTCTCCAGTGGGGCTGATGGGCTGGGGGAAGCTGGTGTCACCATTCCCCCGTGAGGCTCTTCCCCAGCCCCGAGGAGGCAGACACTGCCTGGTCTACTTCAGTGATGCCAAGCTCCTTCCCTCGGGAGATGGGGGAGGCCCTCTAATAGTGTGCGGAGGGAATCCCGTCTTTGTTGGATACCCTCATGATAGGATGCGATCGAGAGTGAGGATTCTCAAAGTGCAGGGGCAGGACACCCTCCAACCCTGTACTGGCTCTAGAGCCCAGGGCAGGAGGAGTAAGGCGCTTCCCAGACTCACCACCCTTCACTGTGCGACCCCAGGACTGTTGCGTGGGGTTGCCCTTCCCCAACTCTCCCTGCCCTCATACAGGAAGGAGGCATCCAAAAGGAGCCTACCAGAAGAAAGCAAGAGTGAGGTCTGAGCAATCAAAGGAACGCGCAGGGCCTTTATCTGAGAGTGTGGAACAGCAGGGACAGCAGAGTCCGAGGAGACTCCCCGTTCACTTCCACACCTTCAGGTATCTTCCTTCCCAGGCTCCCACTCAGGACCTCTCTGCAGCAAACAGAAGACTCTTGGGATGGCTATTTCACCGGCCTCCCTTCCCACCCGAACATCTTCGGTTTATAACATCTTTTTACTAGGGATTTATGACTTTCGTGGTAATGGGTTCCATTCTATTTCCTCTGTGCCGATATTTCTAATCATTATGATGCGGGCTTTATGAGTGTTTCTTAGTAAGTGAAGGTATTCTTTTTCCCTTTTGAAGCAGACTGTCCTGTGAGTTACTGACTTGCTGTGCGTGTGGGTGCAAGCCAGAGACAAGTGGGAGGGGATGACAACGGTAGGGGCTGTGCAGAATCTAGATTTAAAAACAAAGCTGTGCTGAGGTCCCTTTGAAACTCTTGGTTAACCACCATACCGAAGCCTCACTAACAGCTCAGGAGCAACTAGAGCCACGCTCAGGCACAGGTGGCGTTTGTGGCCTGGACAGCGCTCACCTGGAGGATGGGTATGCACACAAATACCCGGGTGTTTGCCAATCCCAGTCTTTCTATGGGAGTCAACTTCACTTTTTGGTGGCATTTAGGTTAGGCTTATGTGTTTGGTAGCCTTTTTATTGATGAATCAAGTTTTAAGGAAACTGACTCGATTCCCTATCCAGTGGTCCTATGCTAAGTCTGACAAAAGAAATACATCAGAATAAGGCCTCTGTGGCCCCTGTTAGGGTCTCAAGCTGTGCTGTAGAGCCTGTGCGCCTGCGCCATGGCAGGGGCGGGGGCAGAGTCTCACTTAGCAGCGGGTGGGGCCACCCTTCCCTGACTGCAGCCCAAGCTGGGCTGATGTGGCTCTCTCCCTCTTTGTGCTGGTCTCACAGACAGGCTGCTGGTGCCGGGCCCTATTCATTATTCAATTCAGCTGGCTCGGAGGAGCCTTTCCATTTGCTCCTCCAGGAGGGATAACAAATCTAGAAATGCAATTCCACTTTGGTGTATTAAGATATCGATTTGCCTGCTGAGCAGAAGTGCATTTGTTCTGCCAGCCCTCCTGTGGGGAGGAAGGGGTTAACCAAATGTTTATCACAAGGCTGGCTTCAGAGTTGAAAGTAATGTGATCAGTAATGAATTTTGTGTTACATTAGGTTGTATAAATGGACAGACAAGCGCAGACAACAAGTGGCCAGGAGTCGGGGCTAATCTAATGATGTAAAAATAGAGACAGCACCAATTATACCAGGGGCCAGCTCCAGGCTCCTGCAGGGACTGCAAATGAATAGGTACAAATCAAATTACTCCCTAATAGACGCACTACAAGAGGGGCAGTCAATGGTAAATGCATTAGAGCCCAGTGACCTCTCTGCTCTGCACAGCAGAGTCCCAAAATTTGACTTCCATCTTCAGAGTGGGGGGCAGGGAGTGGTGCTCTCAAAGAAACTCTTGTTGGGTGAAAGATGGCCACCACTCCTCATCCCAAACCAGTCAGTCCCCTGCAGAAGAGACCTCCTATCCTAGCTGACTTCCAGTGCTCCCCGAAGCCTGAGCTCTGGGGGAGGAGAGACACCCATGTGAGGGACATTGGAGCAGTGGGACCAAGCCTTCTGTGTAGGCAAAGACAGGAGGTTACATACCCAAACACTTCATAGCCATGTGCCTCTCGGGGATGCTGTTTTTTACTGCTACGTCAAGGGCTGTGTCTGCATTGGAAATAAAATAGTTCTTTAAAGCGGATCATACAGTGGACCTTCTAAGAGTCTAACAAGAACTGAGGTCAAACTGAGCAGATACCAGATCTGGTCTGACTCCTGATAGCTTTGCAGGGAGAGTTCTGGGGTCTTTTCCAAGGTCTGGCACATCTAGATTTTTCATTAGCCGAAGCTAGCAATCTCTACCCCTTTCTTCTTCCCCAGTCTCCACAGACTGACTTCTCCTACTCCTGCCTGCTGCTGGGGGGTTGGGGAGGGAAGGATGAGGACTAAGCTTTTGGGAAGTGCCTCCAATTTTCTTCCATGGTTCTATAGATTTCGACACCAGGCCTGATGTCCAAGGCTGCCTGACAGTGTGCTGGGCTCTTCTGGGAAGGCTTGTGGAGACACACTCAGAGCTAGTCCTATATTCTCATCGTCAGCTCTTGATGGCTTGGGGATGGTTAAAGTATGAAACCAAAGAAGCTCTAAGTCTTCCAAGGACTAGTTCAAGCTTCATGGAGGTGTGGGCGCAGAGGCTTGGTTTACCCTCCTCCCCCAGCCACCCTAGGCCAGCACCACACAGTCATTCGCAGAGTGGAGATGTCATGTCAGTTGTGGCCAGCTGGGGGCTGGAGAAACAGGGAATGTGCCAATATAATGGGCATGGGGGAGGGGAGGGCGTAGAATGGAAAAGTCATCCTGAATAAATGAGGTGACTGGAAGTGAGTCTCCCCAAACTTGATTAAATGCAGAGAGGTGAACTGTAAGCTACTAAGTTACAAGAACAAGACATATATGGGGGATGAGGAAGGGGACAGCTATGAAAACTGCAGGATCTCACCACAGACTTAAAGCTATCCTGGGCAATGGGGCTTGCAGGCTCCTGGGGCCAGGAGTCATGCAGGAAGAGCAGGCAGCAGAAAAATCACCCAAAGCTAGACACCTGCCTAATGCCCTTGCTTTGGGCAATCCAAAATGTCTCACGTTTAATGCAGTCAAGGGTCATCTCTAACCTTCCTTTTCTACAGATGGTCCTGTTTCCTAGCCTATGGCTTCTTGCCATCGGAGAAGCTGGGGAATAAGAGAAGGTGAGTACCCTGTTGGCAGTGCTCTACCTTGCTGGGACCTCACACCTTATGAAAGGGCCAGTGATTAAGGGTGAAATCTGGCGGCGGCGGCGGAGGAGGAGGTACCAAGAAGAATCCTCCCTTGGGTTAACCATTTACCCATTGTGATGATCCCAGGGAGGCCCCTGGCAACTGTCCTGCAGCCCTCCACCCTTTGCCCAAGCTGGCACACGTTCCACTGCCACTTTCCTTGGTGCAACACGTAGAAAGAGTCACCTAAGAGGCCACACTGGCATTTCCTCTTTGTTGACAAGAAACAGCATGCCACGCCATGGGCAAGTAGGCCATGTGTAGAGAAGCCGACCAGCCCTGGGCGTCCACCGTGGCCCCTCCACGGGGGCAGCTCCAGAAGGGGCAGAGGACAGGGGCAGGGAAAGCAAGCTAGCTGGAGTCAGATCTAAGACTAAGACTTGGCCTGGAACTAACAAGTGTGTCTTTTAAGCACGATAACTGTTCCATGGCTTTGGCTGCCTTTCATTTACCTCTCAGAGGCCACAAAAACCCAATCAGTCATTCAACAAACATTAACTGAGGCTCAGCTTGGCATTCATCCCAGGACTGGGCAAGGAGAACTGGTAGCTAAAGGTAACAAAGATGGATCAGATTGGGTCCAAGGAACAAGAACTGGGTCAGGATGCACTCATGGCAATATGGATAAGGGAGGAGCAGAAAGGACCCACGGAGCTGGCCCTTTCCTGAGTGGCATGTAGAAAGATGTCAGCCTTGGCTCCTTGATGGGAGAGTCCATAAGCTGCTACAGAGAGGTTCAAGGAGACACATGTGGCCAAGGAAGGAGAGTCAGAGGAGGAGACTGTGAGTTTGGCTGAAAGAAACGACCATGTTGCAGGGCTGTCTACTTCCAGGGGACCAACTTGCTGGCAGAGCTGGAGAGCTAGAGTCACATGCTTACAGAAAGAGGTGGGGGGAACCTCAAGTGGGATGAGGAAGGTGGGTCAGGCAGGAAAGGCCTAACAGACATTTAAAAAAAAAAAACAAAACATGGCAAGATCTCAGTTGAGCTATGAAGACAGCTTGCATTTTCAAAACAGGGAAGTGACCTTAGCCTCCCTGAGGATGGGGACCCCTTCCTCTATGGGGGTCCCTATTTTGAATTAAAACACGGGTCACATTCTGAGCGGGTGAGACTGGCATGATGGTCAGAATGGACACTTCTATTTGAGAAATAATATTTTCTTTGGTGATGCTGGAGACTGAACTCAAACTCAGAACTCTGCGTACCAACAATGAGTTACGTCCTTGGCCATTTTAGTGCCTTGTTTTAATTCCTTTTTAAAAGTTATTTCAAGAATTTTGTCTCTCGCCTCCGGAGCTGACGAGAGGGGCATCTAAGAGAATTTGGATGAGAGGCCTGTGGCACAGCGGGAGTCTGCAGCGCAGGAGGCCTCTCCGCTGTTTAGAGTGATGGGAGCGGTACAGACTGCTGGCTGCAGTGTCCAGGGTGTGCATGTCACGAGGATGGGAAGTCAGTGCTCCCTGTATTTCCTGTTTCACTCCTACTAAGAGATGAAAAATTAAACCCTGAGAGGAAGGGACCGGCCACGTGCTTCCCTCCATTTCTTGAATCCAGATCTCACCACAAGACACTGATTTTTCCCAGCGCAACAGCTGGCGCTGGGAACTGAAGGGTCTCTCAGGACTTGGCCTTTGCTCCTGGTGGAAAATAGCTAGGACGAGGCGCTGGGACACTGCTGGGACACAGACGGCAACACAGTGCCACCCTTGGGGCCACAGTCACCCACAATCCCACAGTTGTGCTCCCCCACTCTACAGGCTGCTTATGACCTGCTGGTGGGAAAGGGCTCTACATGGCAGCCCTGGCCTCTGGGAGCTACCCTCTTCTCCCACCCTTAGCAATCAGGGCATCTGTGGCTGGAGACCTGTGTCCCACAGCAACTCCCGTTTTGGACACTTGGTTCCCCCTCAATTCCCCCCCCCCAACATGGTGCTATTTTGAGAGGTGCCCAGCTACAGGAAGTAGTTCTTTCTGCTTTTCCATCCTCCAGGAGGTGAAAGAGCTTCTCTACCGTACACAATGACTACCAAGACGCTCTGCCCAAGCAACCACTGGCTGACCCCTCTGAAACCATGAGTCCAAATGGATCTCTGTCTCTAACTTGTTCTCCAGGATCTCTCACAGCAGTCAGAAAACCAATACAGTGTGATGATTAAGTTTATGAATTTCAAAGTCTCCCAGGTCCCTCTGGGCATGTCTGTGAGGGCGTTTCTAGGTAGGTTTAGCTGAGGAGGGGCTCTTCCCATGGTCTGGGGTTCCAGGATGAATGAGAGGGAGAAAGCAAGCAAGATCAGCATTCACCTCCCTTCCACTTCCTGACTGTGAATGTAACCTGACCAGCTGCCTAATGCTCCCATCACCACACCTTCCCACCATGATGGATGGGGCTCCTTCTTAAGCCACGAGCACCAATAAATCCTCCTTGTCTTTAGCTGCTTCTGTCAGGATTCTGTCACAGCAGTGAGAGCAGTGACTAACAGAAAGCTGTGGCTAGGGAGAGGAGCCCTAGCTAGCTCGCTTCAGTTTACTAACAGGCCCTGGTAGGAGCCAGAGAGGAACAGACCACGGCTCAGCGCCATCACCTCCCCCCCCCCCCCCCCCCCCCCCCGGCTTCTAAAAATTCCAAGAAAGGAATTGTGGCTCACCTATTCTCACTTAGTCTGGTGGGGATGCGACAGCTGCCCAGAGAGGCAGCCTGCCTGCTGCAACAGCAGAGAGGGCCTCGTTGGTGGCCACTGAGAGAACACACTGAAAGCATTCCTTCTGTTTGTTTTTGGTTTTGTTTGTTTTTGTAAATGCCATAGAAGGAAAAGCCCAGGGTCCATACAGATAAAGCAGAGGAGAAGGTGCAGATCCCTGGTTAAGTCACCTGGATGAGAAACAGCATTTTTCAAGGGGCCTGTTGCCAAGGGGAAACAGGCAATGATGGGTTAGTACCAGAGAAGCTCAGAGTCCTTGTTAAGAGAGAGAGACCCAGCTAGAGCTCATTGGGTTAGATGGACCACTCTCTTCCATCTGGAGAAGGGAGGCCAGGAGGATTAAGAGAAAGTAAGAAAAGACTGGAGACTGGGCCACATGCACTACTATACTAGGTATCAATGGGGAGGAGAGATAATCTCATTCTCAAGAGACCAAAAAGAGGACTGGAGAGATGGCCCATTGGGTGAGGGACCTGGCAACAAGTCTGATGACCTGAGTTCAATTCCCAGGACCCACATGATAGAAAGAGAGAACTGACTTCTGTGGGTTGTCCAGTGACCTCTGCATGCACCCCACCCCACTCATAAGTAAAAAAAAAAAAAAAAATTAAAGTAACTCAAAATATTTTTGACAAAGAGGCTGGAGGTGGAAACCTTTCCTACAGTATGTGGAGTCAACACGATTGAAACTCAGAGGGACTGAGCAGGAGGGGACAGGATCATCTCATATAACAGGCAGGTTATATGAGATAATCAAAGCAGCTTGGTGGTTGTGCATGGCAGGTAGTACTTGTGACCTGAGGGGCAATGGCCTTGTATATATAGGTAGTAAGTATCTTGAGCCTGCTCGGATAAGAATAGGTTGGCTAACCTGGGACTAGAGAAAGGTCCAACCTTCACTAACATCTCAGCGCTGTCTCTTTTCTTACATGTTTATGTGTGTGTGGTATGCATGTGTGCACGTTCGTATGTGTGTGGGCACATGCTCATGGAGGCCCAAGACTGATACCAGGGGTCTTCCCCAGATCACTGTCTATTTATTCTTTGAGGCAAGGTCTCTCAATATGGCTAGTCTAGCTAGCGGCTTGCTGCAGGGTTCCTTGTCGATGCCTAGCCCAGCGCGGGACTTAAGGTTAAAGCACCATGCCC